GCAACAGAGGTGACCGCGGCCAGTCCAACATAGTTCGACATAGGTGACGTGCACGGTTACGCGTCGAATTCAATTCCGAGCTACCTGTTTCATTGTCGACTACTGAGTACGTCCTACAAATTTTATTAAAGTTCACATACACGATCTACATCATTTTTATTTAATAAAAATCCGTTTAGAATACTAAACAATATAAAGCGACATGAAACTTAACATTTATTTCCCGTTTCGGATGAACGTTTCAAATGCCGTATATCGACTTATACTCCAAATCACACACATGTACAAACAAGCATGAGGCTAATGCAGTGTTTTAGCAAAAACATTACAATATAACACCGAGGGTGTTACAATGACGGGCTTCAAGACAGCCTTCTCCGAGCTCGACGACGACGTGACCGACACGGTGAAGTTCGGTGACAGCTCAAGGGTGGCGATCCGAGGGCGCGGCACCATCATCTTCAGGTGCCAGAACGGCGCGGCACCATCATCCGAGGGCAGCGAGGTACTGATCAAGGACGGCGTCCTCAGGATCAGGGACCAGGAGCAGCGGCTTCTTGCCAAGGTGAAGAGGTCCCGAAACCGGCTGTACCTGCTCGACCTCAAGGTGGAGCAGCCCATCTACTTGGCTGCACGGCGCACGGAGGAGCCGTGGCTGTGCCATGCCCGGTATGGACATCTCAGCTTCGACGCTCTTGGTCGGCTAGAGAAGATGGTGACTGGGCTGCCTCACATCGAGCACGCAGGCGAGCTGTGTGACAGCTGCCAGGCCAGGAAGCAAAGAAGGCTGTCATTCCCGATGATGGCGAAGTACCGCACGACAGAGGCCCTCAAGCTGGTCCATGGTGACCTCTGCGGGCCGATCACGCGCGGCGACGCCCGGCGGGCGCAAGTACTTCATCTTGCTGGTGGATGACTGCAGCCGGTACATATGGTTGTAGCTTCTGACCAGCAAGATCAAGGCGGCAGAAGCGGTCAAGAAGTTCAAGGCGCGCGCAGAGGCGGAAAGCGGCAAGAAGCTACGCATGCTGTGGACTGATCGCGGTGACGAATTCACTTCGATAGAATTCGCTGCGTACTGCGTGGATCAGGGCGTGGTGCGAGACCACACCGTGTCGTACTCACCACAGCAGAATGGCATGGTGGAGCGGCAGAACCAGACGGTAGTCGACATGGCTCGATCCATGATGAAGGCTAAGAAGATGCCGATAGAGTTCTGGGGAGAGGCGGTGACCACGACAGTGTTTATCCTCAACCGCGCGCCCACCAAGGCCCTGAAGGGCAAGACGCCGTTCGAGGCTTGGCATGGACGCAAGCCGAATGTGTCCTTCCTCGGGACATTTGGCTACGTCGGCCATGTAAAGAACACCAAGCCTCACCTCGGCAAGCTGGAAGACAGGAGCACGCCGATGGTGCTCCTGGGCTACAAGGAGGGCAGCAAGGCCTATCGGCTTTATGATCCCAAGAGAGGCAAGGTGGTGATCTCTAGGGATGTGGTGTTCGATGAGAAGGCGGCCTAGGACTGGGTCAGTCCGAGCACGGGGGAAACTAGCGACTTCACCAGCACCTTCGTCGTCAAGCGCATGGTCATCCACGGTGGTGGAGACACTGGAGAGGAGGTGCCAATCACTCCAGGAACAGAGCCGAGCACTCCTGGGGCAGTGCCGAGCACCCCGGGAGGGGTGCCGAGCACTGCAGAAGGGATGCCGAGCACTGCAGAGGGGATGCCGAGTGCTCCAGCAGTGGAGTCGACCACTCCAGGAGTGGTGCCGACCGCTCCAGCAGTGGATCCGACCACTCCGGCAGTGATGCTGAGCGGTCCAGCAGCGATGCCGACCACTCTGGCAGAACAGGGAAGTCGAGGACCACCGATCGAGTTCACCTCCCCTCCGAGCGACATCAGCGAGTTCGTAGATGCCTTCCACGACGGCAAGGAGATTTGGTTCCGCAGGCTGGACAACATCATCGGCAATGCAGGGGCCACAGGCCTAGCGAGTCGGCTGCTCGACGATCCAGAGCTGCTCCTTGTTAGTGCCGAGGAGCCACCGACGTTCGCAGTGGCTGAACGCAACGCCAATTGGCGACGGACGATGTTGAAAGAGATGAAGGCCATCGAGGACAATGGCACATGGGAGCTGGTAGATCCACCGGTGGGCTGCAAGCCGATTGGCTTGAAGTGGGTCTACAAGGTGAAGCAGGACGAGCGTGGCGCCATTGTCAAGTACAAGGCTCGGCTCGTCGCCCGTGGCTTCGTGCAGCGTGAGGGCATCGACTTCGAGGAAGTCTTTGCTCCGGTGGCGCGAATAGAGTCCGTTAGGTTGCTGTTGGCCATGGCAGCAGCGAAGGATTAGCGCGTCCACCACCTCGACATCAAGTCTGCGTTCCTCAACGGCGATCTCGCGGAGACGGTCTTCGTCAAGCAAGCTCCGGGCTTCGCCGTCAAGGGCGCTGAGCACATGGTGCTCAAGTTGCGCAAGGCGCTCTACGTCTCTACGGGATACGGCAGGCCCCTCGGGCATGGAACGCCAAGCTCGTCTCCACATTGGGCGAGCTTGAGTTCACTCGCTGCGCTATAGAGCACACGCTCTACACGCGGCGACGGGGGAAGGAGGAGCTCGTCGTCGGCGTGTACGTGGATGACTTAATCGTCACCGGAGCGCGAGCAGAGGACATCGACGGTTTCAAGCGCGAGATGGCGGCTCGTTTCAAGATGAGCGATCTCGGCGCGCTCTCCTACTACCTCGGCATCGAGGTGAGGCAGGGGAAGCAGAGCATCTTCCTGGGTCAGCACGCCTACGCGGAGAAGCTGCTGGAGCGCGGCGGCATGGCGGAGTGCAAGCCGTGCGCGACTCCGATGGAGGAGCGGCTGAAGCTGAGCAAGCACAGCACTGCTGCTGAAGGTGGACGCGACGCGCTACCGTAGTATCGTCGGCGGGCTACACTACCTCATTCATACCTGACCGGACATTGCGTTTGCGGTTGGGTACGTCAGCCGTTTCATGGAGGACCCGCGCGAAGATCACTGGTCGGCGGTGAAAAGGTTGCTGCGCTACATCAAGAGGACGCGGATTCAGCACGATCATGGAGAGTGCAGCGGAGAGTTACTTTGTCACGTCCCTGGCACGCCGTGAGCCCACAGTGACCTCTCTGTTGACATCGTTCACAATCTTGCAGTAGAATAAGAGGAAGCAGCAAGCCAAGAACAATTTGTTCAGTAACTAATGAATTACATGGTGTACCTATGCATGCAGATGTCCAACTACATGGTGTACCTCGTGTTCGTTAATCCTGAGATGCTGTTGTCGGGCTCCAGGCGGAATCTCTTCATAAAGGCACATATACAGAGCCACCATTGGACGAGGGGGCGCTTACAGAGGAGATCCGGCGCAAGCTCGAGTCACCTTAAGCTTCCAATGTAGCAACTCTTATCGACGATGCTTGGACGGTTGCTAAAGGGTTACAGGAGCGCCATAACGAGAAGGAGATGTGGGAAGTGATCCAGCGTGTCTGGGTGGAGATGCTCTCCCTCTCCGCCAGCAGACGCAGAGGGTACCTACACGCCAAGGCTTCTGCAATGGCGGCGAGTTCCTCTCCTACGTCTGGCTCCTGCTATCACGCACGCATGGGGATGGAGACCTTCACACCACGGAGAAGCTGCAGAGTGCAGAGGGAGGAGCAGCTTCCAAGCCGGGAAGTAGGGAACGACGAAGGCACTGTTTCAACGACTCATGAGGTCTCCACTCTCCACCAGCTAAGCATGGCTCCGTCTGCTTCCGAGGTCCGCATCGGCGTCGATGTGTGCCACATATACTGCTATGCACTGCGTCATCAGCTCATCTCTCTGTTCGCTCGAACTTATCAGCCTCGCTTATCAGCCATGAAATATTATTTTTCTCTCACAACAAACCAGCGAACAGTACTTTTCAACCATGTGTTTCGTCAGGTGGCTTTTGGTCCTGTAAGCCAAGAGAAGAAGGGTGAATAGCGTGAGCCCAGCTGCATATTCAAATTATTACTCATATATGTCATTACGAAAGATACTGCATCGGTTGAGAATCTTCCGAGGGTTCGATGATGACTCCCTCATTTTCAAAACGTGTTCGCTTTTAGAGCGAGTCAAGAACTTCATCTCCCATGGTCATTTACCAAGCGATGGGTTTCCCTATATTTTTTTTAAAAAATGGTGCTTTTAATGGGTGAAGAACAATTGAAAAGTGACCCATTTTACTCCGTCAAGTGAATTGAATTTGTGTTGAAGATAATGTACATTATGCTAACCACCACATTTTTGCCCTCTGTATTGTTTAGTGTAACTAGTGGTGTGCCCGTGCTAACGCTTTGATAAAATACAAATCAAGACAAAATTTATAAAAAAAATGAACAAACAAATTTATTAAAGTTCATGTCTTATTATTGTATGACTAAATATTTTTGTCACATGATGGATATCACATAACGACTGATCCTTTGAGGAGGCGACAATATGGATGGACGATCACATGGCACAACACATACCTAACACATACCTAGGCTAAGTAGTTTAACATTGACGTCGTCCGTGACAGATCGATGACGAACCAGCCGGTAGCATTTCGTCTGTGACCGTGTGCTGAGTGGTCACTCCACTTAGGCCTGACCAACAGCCACCCACAAGGAGGAGAACAAGTCATGGCCATGCACCAAACAGCATAGTCAAAATTGAGAAAAGGAAACAAGAGTAGTACTCGTTACTCAAGAAACGGTGATAAAAGAAAACTAAGAGTAGTACTCAAGTCATGTCCATGGGATCGTGATCGATGGGAACTCCAAGACCTCGGCAGGAAGCAGGTAGAGGGTACTAATCAAGAGATATGAGTTATAATACAGCAAGTTGGTTTCTAAGTTGCATCCTCTTATTAGTATCTCACACAAAGGAGCAAACTCCATCTATCCATCTTTGAAGTTTACTAGGTGTATTCTTTCCAATATCCACGTTGCGTGCTGAAACAACTGTGAGAATAATGGAGAGCGCGGCGCAGTCCATCGTGAGCAACCTGGGGCAGCTGCTGGTCGACGAGGTCCAGGAGATCCGCGGCGTCGGCGACAAGGTGGTTCTCCTAATGGACGAGCTGTCCACCATGAACGCCTTCCTCCGAATGATCTCCGAGGCGGACCAGAGCACCGTCGACCACCTGGTCAGGGAGTGGGAGAAGCAGGTGCGTGAGCTCGCCTACGACGCCGAGGACTGCGCCGACACTTACTGGCTCCGCGTCAGGCGCCCGATGGCGCCCCTCCAGCTGCCTCACATTATCGTGAAATGGCCCAAGTACCAGCTGGAGAAGCTGCTGCTGCGACGCACCCTCGCCGCCGACGTCAAGGCCCTTCTGGCACGTACCACCACCGTCAGCGAGCGCCGCGTTCGCTACGGCATCGACCGGGCAGCGCTACCCAGGTCTCCGTGGTTCGCTCCAGTCTCGGCGGCGTCTGTGTCCACGAATGCCCTCCGCCGTGCCGATGACCCTGATGATCAGTTCGTCGGCATCAGGGAACAGGTCGACACCCTGGCGGAGAGGATCAAAGCCGACGATGATGACAGAAGCCTCAAGGTGTTCTCCATCGTGGGGTCCGGAGGGCTGGGGAAGACAACTCTGGCGGTGGAGCTGTGCCGGCAGCTGGAGGCCGACTTCCAGCGCCAGGCGCTGGTGTCCGTGTCACAGGCGTTCGATGGCGGGAAGGATATGAAGGGACTGATGGCCCGACTGCTCAAGCAGATTGTGAACCTGAAAGAAGATGGTGAGCAAACCCAAGGCAACCAACCTAAAATCAACCAAATGGACGTGGAAGAACTGTCGAGCAAGCTCAAGGAGCTCCTCAAGGACAAGAGGTACACAACTATAGACTACCGTACCTTCCTCGGACCAAATTTTGAACTCTGCCTATCAACATATTCTCTGACTCCAAGCATATGTAATATGTCCAACTAAAACAGGTATCTCATTGTGATCGATGATGTATGGAGCGTACCAGCATGGGAAGCTATCCGCGTCAGATTGCCAGAGAACAAATGCAGCAGCAGAATCATTGTGACGACTCGGATAGAGACAGTGGCCAAAGCAAGTAGCGTTTCAGAGGATCTTGTCCATCATATAAAGCCACTGGACTTACATGACAGCAAGAAGCTATTCGTCAAGAGAGTATTTGGCTCCATGGGTGGTACTTGCCCCGACGGATTGAAAGATACCATGGACAATATTTTGAAGAAATGTGGTGGGTTGCCATTGGCTATTGTTAGTATAGCCAGCCTTCTAGCAAGCTACAATTCGGCTGAGAGTGTAGAAATGTGGATAAAAGTGTCCAACTCAATTGGTTCTCAGATGGAGAGCCACCCCACCCTGGAGGGGATGAGGCAAGTGATTACACTCAGCTATGACTACCTGCCTCATCATCTAAAGGCTTGCATGATGTATCTGAGCATTTTCCCTGAGGATTATGTGATTGCCAAGGATAGGTTGTTGTACAGATGGATTGCCGAAGGTTTGGTTGCTAAGAAGCGGGGTTTGACTTTGTTTGATGTTGCAGAAGAATACTTCAATGAGCTGATAAGCAGGAACATGATTCAACCAAACAAGCTACAGGTAACCAAAAAAACCTACTCCCATGCAGAAATGGGCGAAGCATGCCAGGTGCACGATACGATGCTTGAGGTCATGGTGTCCAAATCCCAAGATGCCAACTTTGTTAGCTTGGTAGGACGGCAATATGGAGGATCGCCATATGGCAAGGTTCGACGCCTCTCAATCCATGCCAATGACGACAACGAGCGCATGAGTCAGAACAAGGGAGTGGAGCAGCGGCATCATGCAAGACATGGCATTGAGGCGATGAACCTACAACAAGTTCGATCACTCACTATATTTCAGTCGGAAGGCCTTGAGAAGCTTTTAAATCGAATAGGCGAGTTCAAGTTGCTGAGGGTACTTGACCTGGAAGACTGCAAGGCTCTGCAAGACAAGCATATGAGATATGTCTGTCGGCTGTATCTTCTCAGGTTCTTGAGATTGACAGGTACACGAATCAGTAAGATGCCTAGCGAAATCGGTGATCTGGAGTATTTGGAGAGTCTGGATGTTGGAAGTAGGATGTACATGCCGCCAACCGTGACGAAGCTGCATAGACTTGAGCGCCTGAGGGTGCCTTGGTGGACTCTACCACGGGGTCTAGGGAACATGAAGGCGCTGCGCGAGGTGGACTGGGCCCAACTCAAAGGTGACGTTCAGGTTGCCCGAGAGATAGGTGAGCTACAACACTTGCAGGTGCTATATATTACTGTGGTTGAGGACCCCGAAGAGGAGTTTTCGAGTGTGCTTTGCTCCTCCCTAAGCAAGACATGCGCCCTCCGATCGCTCCACCTGTATTCTGGCAGGACACTGGACTCTCTCCTTCACGTCTCCTCACCGCCACCACTCCTCCAGCATCTTACTATGATGGGGCCCATTAGTCAATTTCCTGATTGGATCTCATCACTCAAGCACCTTGCAGAATTTTCGGTGGAATGGGCCACGCTTGCTGCTGACCAGCTACTTGATTCCTTGTGTAAGTTGCCCAGCCTGCGGAGCATCCGCCTGGGGATGCGGAGCTGCAAAGACCGAGAGCTGGTTGCACGCACCACACACAGTTTTCCAGCGCTGAGGATCCTGGATCTGTACCTCGCTGGAGAACAGCCCGAAGTAGTCGAATTTGAGCAAGGATCAATGACAAAGCTGGAGACGCTTCTATTGGAGTTCTCTGACAAGGAGAGGAGAATTGTCGGTATTGACAACTTGAAGAGCCTTAAAGAGGTGAAGCTCAGTGGTTGGGAAAATAACCCATCACTGCAACGCGCACTGCAGCAGCTCAAGGAGGAGAACGAGAATCGCCGTGAGTCCAGCCAGATCAAAGTTGTAGTGCACCATGGGTGATCACATCTTGTTTTCCCATCTTTTTTTTCCCTTTTGATTGCTGTTTTCACATCTTTGGAACTGCTACATAGCTGTTGTTTCCCTACTCTACTATGACCATGCTTTCCTCTTAATAACTGTATTCATTTCCCTAAATACTGTTCAGGCTCTGCTATCACTATTTATTTCTTTTCACATCTTTGGATTGTTCACAATCTTGTAGTACAATCAGAGGAAGCTGCAGGCCAAAAACAATTTGCTCAGTAACTTGTGAATTACAAACAAAAGCATCATCTGTACAGTTACTGCTTACCACTTATCAAATGAGCAGTCTACTGAGAAGTGAGAAACACGGTCCCAGATCCCAATAATGATGACCTGACAATTTGGGTGCTCGCTTATTTCAGGATCTCACCTGCAGATTTTCACAACCATTTTATTGAATGCTTAGAGAGAAAAAGCTGAGAAAATTACCAACTAAAATTATTTCCAACTTGAAGCCGTTGATCGACATTCCAAATCTTTGCCATGTGGTCAGATAATGATGTTGCTAGATATCTGGAACAGAGGCCAATTATGTCATATGAAATATAAAAATGAACAAGTGATGCTGAATAACTATGTGACATGAATTAATTTTGAGGTGTAATACCTATGTAATTGGAGCTAAAGGAGCTGAATATTGCACACTACTGAGACTTCCGTATGCACAAAAGCCATTAATCCCATGAACCATATGCATCTCCATATGCCTGTTAAAGCTGAAGTGCTGAACCCCATTCTTGAATCACCAACAGGGACCCCATGATTGAAGGGTCCATGACTCCTTGTGCAGCGACAGCACATAAGTAATAGTTTTCAGTACCAAATGCCAGTTAAAGCTGCTCAAGTTGTCCACCGTGCACTTGTTTCATGTGCATCCAAGGAGGGCACAAGCCCAAAAGCAGCTTTTTGGGAAGTCTATTTGTTTATAAATTGGTGTTAACCCCCTAATCATATAAATTCATACCATTCCTTGAATCAGTAATAAGTTCATCTTAGGGTTCTATTCCAAAAGTTCATGCATCTGCAAAGTATAGGAGGCAACAGGATAAGACAAACTAAAATTGGGTGACATCAGTCTTTTGTATATGTAGCAATAATACTGAAAATAGTGGGAAAAAGTAGGAAATGAATAGCTTGACAGATAGCGAATGAAGGAGAAACAAAATACGATAAAGAACCTCTGCTAGCGTGAGCCTTGAATTGGTCTCACCAAAGCTAAAAAATAATCTGGATTTGGAGATATCAACAGTTCAAGCAGAACAACCTTAGCTGGACAAGAAACTTTAAGCCTTGTCTTACAAAATCCATTTAAAAAATATTAGACAAAACAGATACACAGTGTTCACACAAGTGTTAAGATTCCATATGCATACTAATTCAGTGTTACTTAAGATAGACCTTGACCTCAAATTAGTTAATCTTTGCATGAGGAAGAGCAGTAAAAGGATTCACTTTTCTGAATGACAGGTCTATCATTGCACTCTCAATACAGAAATTTCACTGTAAGTTTCAAGATGCTAGAGCATCATAGAAATCATATTTAGGAAAGGAAACAGCTCGATATAAAGCAAGAGGACAAATAAAATGTGATATAGCACCTCTGCTACCATGGGTCTTGAACAGGCCTTGCCAAAACAAAAAAGGAATCTTGATTTACTGACATCAATAATTCGATCAGGGCAGCCTTAGCTGGACGAGAAATTTTAAGCCTTGGTTCTAGAATACCTGACAAAGTCCATTTTAAAAGATAAATTTGATATTCAGTGTCCATAAATATTAAAAAAAAAAAACCCATTGCTCTTATTGTACCTGGAGAAAGTGACCGCCCCTGATACAGAAGTGTTGCTAGTGGGTTTGTTGCCCAATGGTTCACAGCTGGGCGGTTAGTTGGCTGAAATCCCACTACTTTACCTTCTTCTGATATGACCACCTAAAAATACGTGAATCAAGTGTTGGGGTCTATAAATGTGAGCTGATGACCTCAAGAGAATGAAATAAACCAGTAGTTGCTTACAAAAATTCTAATGCAGAGGGGGTTTTTTCTATCATAAAATTCAAACGCAATGCAGCACTAGCACTGGATGCCTCAAGCAACCCAGCTTAGAGGAATACTTAGCAAACACCGCAATACTTTACTAGATGGCAACTAAAAGGTGGGTTCTAATGTAGCAGGTATATCGTGATATATGAGCAAATGTTATATGATAGACATTTGCTAGAAACAGAGGTGATCATAGACATTAGACTCATTAGATGCATAATCAATACAAAAAAAGACATCTACTACAAAGAGAACTCCTAAGTCACACGAGGTACCTGAAAACTAGCAATATTCTGCAGAGTTTCCTGGGTTCTATCATTTTGTTCCAACTGGGATATCTTAATATTAATTGGCACCGACTGGGATTGATTTTCTTGGCTAAGAGTGTCAGGATGCTGAAAATAGCCGGAAGCAGCAGCAGCCTCGCTATTGATTGCCTTGAAGCAGTTAGGCAGTTCTCCAACCCAAGCTCCAATGTGTGCATCAATCATTACATCACCAGGGCAGTCATATGAGTCTTTCATTTTCTTAACAAGAGACGTGCAATAAGCTTGTATCTGAAGAAGAGTAAATCAGACAAATTATGCAGCACACATAAATAATGGATAGAGTAGTTATTCTATGATCCAGTTATGCAGGCAGGCATATTAATTCAGTATTCCAGTCTTCCTTAGACACATATAACAAGCTCGCCTTGAACTCTAACTTGTTTAATCTTTATAAATGAAGGGTCACATCCTGTAGTAATTTTCAAGGGGCCAGAAACAGATGAGATGCAGCCCGACAGAATATTCCCAAGCTCTAACAGAAGTTAGGTGCAATTGGTGTTTCTTTGGTCATTGCCACAAGTATGTATAAGCAATTAAGCAAAATTAAACTATCTAAAATGGCATGAGGAACTTTCCTTCAGGTAATTAGTTGAAATATTGTTGTAGTGTCGATGTTATCTGAAATGTTTATAGCATATCACGAAAAGCAATCCAACACTAAAATGAGCATCAATCTACCATGGACAAGCAACAAATTCACAAGAACTAGATAACTAAGTACCTCACTGTCATCAAGAGACTTGATATCAGAACAATAGTTCTGAGATGATGAGGCATTTGAACTTTCCTTGAATAACCTTTTGTCTCTAAAAGATTGAGGCCAGCATAACTGAGCAAAGACGGTGACAAAAAGAAAAATACAGCTCCCAGCCAAGAAAGTGAAAATGTTGTTCAAATAGCCCTGTAAAAAAACAAAAATCATGAAGAGTTTGGTAATAAATATTTAAAGTGAGTAAATTTTGACCAGGAAAGTATCAGCATACATTGTTCTTTTTGATCTTTGACGGATCTGAATTCCAATGAGGATGGAATGTTTTGCCTGGTAATGTGAATTGATCTTCAAAGTACATGTCTAGAATGTTCCCTACTTGCACCTACAAGTGGCAGAAATGCACAGAAACAAGTTAAGAAGACCATATTCAAGAAAACAAATATGTTTAACAGAAGATAGGGAGAGAATAACAGTGTACCAGTTGGGAGTGGGATAAGAGAACTTCCCACCTATTACTTTCTAACTCGTAAAGACCTTCATGGTTAGAACTCTCCAATGCGCTGGCATTAATTTGCAGCTTGTAGGTAGGAATGTACTCATTGGCCCAAAGCACTAACTGAGGACCCCCAATCTTCACCAAACTTTCATAATGTGGAGGTGGCCACCATCCATTCTTTGTTTCGTGAGAAGACTTCATTAGACTAATGGTCTCCAGACACCTCTTAGCCTTTTTCACTACTTCTGCCTCAGAAATTCTGTGTATACAAACCGAGGAATCCATTGAGCAGTTGAGCTGTTGCTTCTGAAACAAACTGCCTACGCCCCCAAGGTGATTTTTTCTGGCATCCTCAATGACACAGGAGAAAATGGCTTCAGCGAGAGAAGACAGAAGCTTTCCATCTGATGAGCTGATACTACAATCCAAAGACCCCTGGTGTGCATTAACATATTAGCAAGAAGTAAACAAAGTAGAAAAATCAAAAATTTGTAAACCTTGTGAGTTTGCACCTTTCGGGGTTTGCCAAAATCTTGGAAGTCTCTCTCTGAACCTGGGGAGAAGACCTCGAGCCGAAAGTTTGAGAGCCGCAGAATTACAACTTGCTTAAAGGCCATGGCCAACATACTTTCTGAATCAGTCTCATTTGCAAAGAAAAAATCAGATCCGAATTGCTTCTCTATCTTACTGGCCTTATCTTTAACTTCCTTCGCTTGCAAAATCTACAAAAATTGCCACAGTTTACTCATGATCCAGAAAAACATGGGAAACCCAACAGAAATCCAAGATTCCAAGGCTGCTATAATTATTCACGTACACAGGTAAACCAGTCGGTCCGTCCTATCCTAGGGTGCCAACCCAGAACAGGTGGATAAGCTCATTCCTCCATGGTTAAACCAAAAGCACCTTTATCAGGAAAAGGAATGTGCATGGTAAATTTCGCTTTGCCTAATTGTTTGACCTATCTACATTGTTGCGTAAGAATCATGTTGCCCACAATGCAGCACATCTAAAGTAAAGGTGTAATTTACCCAGTTGTGCGTTGCAGATAGGAACGAGTGTTTAGTGCAGTTGATATTTGGCATAACAAGATAGATGACATGCCAATTGCCAGTGCTAACACTGGAGAGCTATGAAAGAGCTACTGAATGAGTGCTTATTGTAGCGCGAGCGCCTCAGAAATGGTGTGTGAAAAAGCCGCAGTACTGATACTGACTCACCACTCGCGTGGAGGAGGCGGTCGTCCCGCCTCCATGGGGCCAGGGGAGGAACGCCTCGACGACCATGGCGTCAGAGCCGGCGGCGAGGTGCGCCTCCGCCCTGGCTCCTCCGTCGGCCGCGGCGGCCGCCGCGACGGCCTGTTCCCGGCGCGCGGCGCCAGCGAGCTCGAGCCGAGCG